TGGTAACATTCTGGGTTTAGGCTACCTCAATGTTGAATCTGCGAACCCTCAAAGCCCTGCAGGAGGGATCAGATGACACCTTACCAGAAAAGGAATCCATGGACATAAAGGCTAGAACAAAGAAACCTACCCACGTACCAGAAGACAGGTAAAAGCCTTGAATGTTTTTGTGACGAATCCTGCCGCCATAATCCTGTTGGACAAATGAAACAAGTGATGAATACTCGCCATACACCGAGTAGAAATGGAGAGATTGATCCCCTGGTTGTTTTCATCCATTTTTTAATCTCCCCCCCCTTCCGAAAGCTGACTACATTCCTCCCAATCCAATCAAACACATCAGACATGTCCGCTTTGCACCTGTTTCTTCAGCCTCCTTTGAACATTTCTCTCTGGTGGTCCGTTTAGATTGAAATAAAATTGGAAATGGCAGTATTCCTTCAGCGAGACAATGCTGTTGGTAAACATTTTGTTGGCATGATTATTGATGTGATTGTTTACCTCTGTGATATTTACTTCCGTTCTTCCTCTCTCAAATTCAGTTCAAACCAGCCTCGCGTCTTCAACCCAAGCCCCCGGGCACACCAGCTGCGCCAGAAATCAGAGTTTGGCTCCCTGCCCAAGATCAAAGTCCAAACCAGCTCTCCATTGGTGGCCACCATGACACCCCCGGTCACAAAGCACGAGAGCTTAGAGACGCTGAACGACCATGGCAAGCATCCCCAGTCCCCCGGCAGCACCCTGATGAAGGCCAGGTCGTTGCACGACCTGGAGGTGGGCGACTCGGACCCGGACCTCGTGGCCAACAATCGCAAGGAGATCATCCAGCGCACCAAGAAGATCGCCGCCATCGCCGCCCAGAAGCGTAACTCTCAAAAGCAATTTGAGAAGCTGGGCAGCCGGCCTGAGAAGATGAACCTGCACGAGAAGACCATCGTCTCGCTGCGGTCCGTCTACGAGGTCTCAGAGCCTGACACGGACAGGGAGTACCTGACCATGAGCAGGCTCTCCAAGCATAACAGCATGCACAACGCTGGTCACAACGACCCGAACAATGACGACAACATGTCCATTGTGACCATAGACAGGAGAAGCGAGCTGACTGACACGTACTCCAACATCAACGTCAGGCACTCCAGGCACAAGAACATGGGAGGCGGCAGCATAAAACGCCCGACGGAAAAGCAACTGGCGGAGAAGCGGCGCCGAAGAGGGCTCGGATACGAATCCAGCGGACATGTGATGTACATGCCCTCCAAAGGGGGGCACAACAGGGCGTACCCGTCCGTTGACGCCCATCACCGGGGTCATGGAAAGAAGATTGTGCCCAGAGCAACGGCAACGCATGCTGGCCCAGACACACACCCAACTGGCAAAGTCAAATACCCCATAGTCCATCATGCAGGTTAGTATCATTTTCTCTTACCCGCTGTTCAGACTGGTTGAACCCCCCTTCCCCCGTGGAACTCTCACTTCAGAGATATGTATATTCCCCACCCACCCGCTTTTCAGAAAGTTCCACCACGACTGGAAAATGTGAATTGTACACCGGAATCAATGATCTTGATTTGACTGTGACTTTTTGTTTTTGACTTGGGCCCTATTTGACGGTTACTTATTAAGCAATTGGAATTTTAGCTGTTTCACTTTTAAAATTTTCAGTTGTACATATCCATTTGCCTTGTTTTATTGAATTGGGATCCATGATCAGTTTGATTATGATCGTAATTACCATCAACGATATTCACGAATAGAATTGTAGGAAAAAATCTCAGGTAAACTTCACGTGTTCTTTTGTTGAAGCCCCTCTCAAAAAGGTAAACAATGACGGAAGAGGTCTTATTTAAGAATGCAGTAACTCGTCCAAGACCCAGTGGCCATGTGTGTTTTTGAGAAACATTTGGTTTTGGTTGTCACTATTGCGTCTAGGTGAACAAGACACCACCATATTAGGCTCCCGCAGCACGCCCACCAACATCAACGCAGTCCATCAAGTGGGCGTGGACAGGGGGAAGGGACAGAGCTTACAGAAAAGAACAAGGGGTAAGCTGGGAAAGAAAATTCAGATGAGAAGTAAAAGGCAGTGCTCTATGCCTTAGGAACTAGCACTAACACACAGTACCATTTCTTGTTCCTGTGGAAATACATGTACCTTGCAGGACTCCCGGCCCAGCATCAGATATTCAGAGAGTGTTATACGGTTTTCTATTCAAAAGCAGCGGTTCACCGTCTGTATAGCTTGTTAGCAAAGAACCTACTTCATGAATTATGCACTAAGCTACTGATGTCAGCACAGGCTGGGCCGCTGACCACGAGGCCCAAGCTGCAGTGTTTTAGTCCAGTCCTTCACAAGTCCCCCTCACAGGGCACAGGGTGAACAATGGAATGCTTCTGTCTATTTGACTAGACTGTGACTTGGCTTTCGGCCGAATCACTTGTGATAAACTTGCAGGGATTGGTGGTGGACTCGACTGCAGCGCTTCCAAGTTGGCCATCCACAGGGAAGCTTGTTTTGGAAATGCTGCCTTCTTGGAGATGAGCTTTAAGACACCCTAATCCAACGTTAATGTTTCAGGCATATACTGCAAGCCACAATCTCTCGTGGTTTGACCTAGACATGCACAAAGTACTTTGACAAAAATCATAATCCAAAACCAACAAAAACGTAAATCTGCCATAGCACCTGGGATGCAATGCTGTGTAATGTCTTCCTTCCTTATCTACCACATAGGAGTTGCAAATAATGACATGTCCAACCACAGCACGCCTCAACTCCTGGGAGGCAAGCAGCCAGTCGGCAAGCGCCAGCAACCGACATATCCAGTGTACCAGCGCAAAAACCAGTTGTCAGTGTCTGGCTTTGGGGTAACAAGGAACCAAAGGATTGGATATCGGAAGATGTGATCGGCTGGATGCCAGCCTCAGTGGAGACCAATTTCATAGAAACAGTCATACTAACTATGTCATGGTTACCAGCTAAAAGTTTTTGTTCATACCCAGTATACTGAGATCTACAAGGTCGTGGTACAGGCTAAATGTGAGGAACTCTGATTGGGCAGTTTGTGCGTGGCCACATTTGGTTTAGGTCAGATGGGTACCTTGTGATTGGTCACCAATGATGAATTGCGCAAATCTACATCACTTCCAAGTTTTGCATTTCTGTCTGCCAGTCAGGGCCACCCACAACCCTTTACATTTCCCTCTCAAGATTATGTAACAGCTGAACGTGGCATTTACCATAGATACAAAGGCAGTTTTCAAAATACTACATGCAAAAAAAAAAGAAATGTCTCATTGACCTGCATAGAAAAAGATCCTTCATCAATATTGCATTCAGCAAGGACTAGATGAATACCAGCAAATTCCAATCTTGAGAGACATAATCTGGCTATCACTACAGCATTTCCTGTCTCCCAATGTAGCTGAAAATGCATCAAAAAAGTCATTAGTATCCAGAACAAGTTGGCAGAAGAGCCATAATAAGCACACTAACTGGTTTAACCGTTATATTTCTGTGACACTGGTCTCGGTTTAGCTTTGAATACTGAAATTTCAGGTTTGTTCGACAGTTTTTTTCTTTGGTCATTGTGCATAGTTGCAATAAACACTCAGCTAAGAATACAGGTACTTGGAGGACCAAAACCAGGAAAGTGCTTTTAGTGAGAAGGTTTGAAGTAAAGGCCTGTTGTCTGGAAATGTACTTGGTCTCTCTGATTGCTTTTAGTGATATTATTTTTATCTCTAGGTACGATGTACCTAAGAACAAAGTGATTTCAAATGCTGTTACCTGCGTCGTTAGTGACTGGTGGTGCTTCTTAGTGCACTCTTTCATTTCAATTAATTTAAAGGTCACCTCATAAAATGCCTTAAATTATTTTATCCCACACTTTTCCTTGTTTTATTGCCAAATTCTGTTTTGTATCCATCTTCATGTTTTAGTTTCAGGTTGTGTCTGTGTGAAAGAAGTTGGGAGAAAATAGTGAACTTATGTGGGCCATGTTTTGTCATTGCTAAGTGAGAGTCACAAATTATTGATGGCTCCAGTTTAAATTACTGAACATAACTGGGTCATATGTGATACATTAGTTGTGACATTTTAGACTATGCTGTTATCAAGCAGCGTAGGTATGGTTTCTAGGTACAGTGCACTATTTGAATATCGTTGGAGTACACTTCATGGATGGGTTTTGTTGGTTAAATTCAACTTTCTCGTCAGTAACTCGTCCACCAGCTATGAAATATGGATCAGCTGTGGTCACAGAGTCCAGTGCCCGATTAAGTGAACTGTAGGCCCTGAGCGCCCTTACATAGGCCCAATTGTGGGTGATGTACGAGCAGCAAGTTCATAGCTTTGGAAAACCCCGGAGCACCGGAGAACCCTGGGGCTTCGGAAAACCCTGGAACTTTGCATATCATGTTGATGCTAAGCTTGCACTCTGCCAGCTGCCAGGTAGTCCGAAGCTTTCTCCAAATCGAAACTTCAAGTAGAGAAGCCAAAGGGTTGAACATAAACTGTGGTATATTTGTAGGCCCTCAAATATTTGTAGGTCATGATTTTGTTTACAGACCTAGGCACCTGATGTGCCCATTTGATAATCCAGCCTAGTTATGCAAGGTTCATGGGGAACATGCCTCAAAACGTGTGGGTGGTGCGTGCTTGATACCCCAATGTCACACCAGCAGCACCATTAACTTTGATAAATTCCACTGGGCAAAGTCGGTCTGCTCGACCAATATTGTAATGAAGAGCCGCTAATATGTTTGATTTGTATTTTTTAGCATTAAGAGGTCAAAGGTTGCACCTCCTGCACTATCTGCCCCACATCCTGTTTTTTCCCCCTGAACTTTAACCAACACAAACATGTGCTTCTCTTTGATTGGTTATTTGTCATCTTAAAGTTGATGATAAGGTAGCGATGTGCTATTCACGTCAGTAATAGAAAACTTGTACCAACTGAATTGTTCCTGTCTGTCAATGTTTAACAGTTGCTCATGTTAATATTTTTAAACATTTCACAGCCAAACCTGAGGTGTTAAAATTAACACCGTGTCAAGTTGGCACCCGAGTGTGTCAAGGCAACGCAAGCTTGATGCTCCATAGCTCTCTGTTTTTGATGTGCATTTTTGATGCCAAATGCATCGTAAAAAGTATTTTTTTTCTCGAATGTCTGTCTATGTAATTGATTACTATGAACTAGGAGTGGCGTATGAATTTTAAGGCATATGTAGGTGACTGTTTCATGTAAAGATGGCAATAATAATGTGTAATTATGCATGTCTTTCAGGATCAATCATTATTATGCTGTTATATTTTCCAATCAATCAGAACAAATTTTTGTTTGCCGAATTATGTGTAATTAGTGCCTTAATTCAACAGATGAATTAAACTTTAAATTTTCTATTGCTTCATTGGGAATCTTTTTTTGCAAATCATGTAAATATGTAAATTAGAATTAACTTATTTATTAATTCATGATTAGTGTAATTAGAATGCTTTGGTCGTTCTTTACAGGGTTTTGTAAAATCCAATGGGGTATCTACGAACAAAGGTGTAATGAGTATTTATTTGCAAGGAGCGTGGTTTTATGGACAACACACACGTTGCTTTTACGTTTTCAGTTAATACAAACCAATCAGGTCAAGAAGAATTGCTTATTACAACATATTTTTCATTGTCATAGAACATCTTTGCTTGTTAACCAAATGCCTTGCCTTAGATCACCAATTAATTGTGGTTGAAATGATCCCATCCCAAATGCCCCGACTCAGACATTCCAAATAATGATGAATGCAAAATTCACAGTGTAGCGTCTTTCAAATAGTCATCATGTTTCCTTGCTTCACGGTTTTTTTTTTCAGTGTGGCCGATGGCTTTTTTTTGGGGGGGTCAGAAAACAGCCAGTTTTCTGTGGCATTTCGAGCGAATCATTTGAACAGTTACGGGGCGGGGTAATTTTGTTCTCCTCGTGTAATCAATAATCAATGTCATTTCAATCTTTCATATCAGATGTACTGTTTGGAATGAAAGTTGACTGAAATTTTGAGATCTATGCATCACGTGATCGTAGTGGTGAAGCTGTCATTTGTGTCAGTCGTGATTCTCAGCAATAACTTGAAAGTTGATTGAAACTAATGTTAAATTCAAGTCAAGAAGCTTTGGTTCACTTATGTAGGCCTGTGTTTTAAAGGTACGTGTGCTTACGTGCGACACGGGGAGTAACATGGAGGTAAAAGAGCAGATGTCGACAATGAAATAATTATTCGCTCTCGACAAAACGTTCATTTTTTGCACGTTTACATTTCTGTCAAGTGCAGTTTAATTATACCAACACCATCAGAAGACGACAGAATTCTTGTCTGCAGAAGACAGGTTTTAACAAATTAACCATCTGCTATTTATGTGACCTGCCAAGTCTGAAACAATTTTCTATATTTGAAAATAGTAAATGAAACGAGTCGGAAATGAACATTCATTCAAAAAAAATCGGTCCTACAAAAAGGTGTAAGAGCTTTGTACTTAATTCAGTAATAATTCAATAAACTCAACTTCAAAGTACTTGTTTCATTTTGACTGTCTCACAATGTTGTTAACAGGTCATGCATAGCAATTAGAAAGGCAGCTGATAACGATTCTCAGATAAGACCAGACAAAACCGTTCACAAGACTAGTCGCAATGAACAATGAAAGCAATATGCTTTAATAACAGCAGTTCGTTTGAACAGCTTGCGTTTTCAATCATACTGGAGGTCTTGTCTGGTCTTGTGATGGTCATGACTTGTTCTTGTGGCGATGCTTAGTAGTAGTAAATAAAGTTGGAGAAGGCGGGGGGGTGTGACAAAACACCAATGACTGGCTCTTTCATGCGACAAAACTTGAGTTGTGATTGTATCACACCGGGTGTAATTTGTCGCTTGTTACAGCATGAGAGAGGAGAACCCCTTCTGTTTTTCACTCATCAAAATTGGATCTGTGGTGTTACTCTTCACAAATCAGGACTTTCAGTCAGCGTTATGAGAAGACAGTGGGGTCGCCTCAGAATTTATCAATGAGGGCTGAAACTGTGAGCGATTATTAGCCCTGTGTGGTTATATGGAATGAGGCAGATTTTCCCATGCGTTGGAAAAAAATTAAATAAGAATTTCCAATGACTTACTTTTGCACAAACTGTTTTGCAGCCTTCAGCATAAGAAACGACTGTCCAAGTGTTACATTAAAAGAGCTGACTTGACGGTGTCTTTGTGAGAAATGCGCAATTTTCACACAAAATACAATTCATTATCAATTATTTGTGGCGGGGGTACATAGTAACCGCCGATCTCATGTTTCAATACAAAGGAGCCCTGGCAATGGACGTGGTTTCAAGTTGAAATTGACAGTTCAAGACTTCGATAAATTTCCTGATTGAACCACGAAAAGTGGTAACCACTGAGATCATTTGTACCAGCAATTTTACCTTTTCTTATTCACTGCCTGTTTACTGCTCCTCATTAATATTTACAACCTTGAGCGATTCGAATGTTTGTATTTCAGACAACACCTTCAAAATGTCCAAGTTTATTGGCTGAAAGAGAATGACAAGCATTCGAGCACGGATGATTGGTTGAGCGATTGGGTACTCCATGCGTTGGATTTAGACTTGTGTGATAAAAATTGCTCCGATAAAATATAAAATATTTCAACAATCTGTTAACGTAGTACAGTATTTTCTTTTGAAAATGTCAGCCTGGCATTGCTTATGACAAATGTCGTGATTTGAAGTTCTGCCCCAAGATTTGCGAGTTCACTTTTTACCCCCGAAATTCTATAACAGTTAATTAACCGTTCTGTATCTTACAATTACTCTGTTGTGTGTGGCGTGGGCCTCTTCACTTGAGAAATCTAGAACTTTCTGACAATCGTCGAAGTATCGAGCACCAAGTTAGAAAAGAAAGTCCAGTTCCATTTTTCCCGAATAGCACACAATTGGATAGTTGGAATTGCGCACATGCGTCCACCAGTATAGCAAATCGTCATTATGGCTTGTAACTACCGATCTCCATTATAAATGGTTGTCACTTTGTTTACATACCGTCATTGGTCGTATCTTAATTATTCCCCTTTGGCCAAAAATAACGCATGCGCCGTTACTAAGCGGTCACGTCCAGTTTCCCCTAGATGCTTGTGTTATCTTCAGAGACCGTTGGCCGGCGTGGTCATTCGCACAATATCATGCAATACAAATGGCAGCAAAGATCCAAGCAATTCTATACACTCGACACTTTGCTGTCATTTTGACTTAGCTTTTTCCAGTGCGATACAGACGGTAAATAATGAAGCAGGTGATGTGAGTCAGTATCCTTATTTAGCAATGATTACTCCTACATCTCTACCCAAGAACACTCAGAACGCTTGAAGCGAAGCTGGGCTTACTATCATTGTCTGATAGCCGCTTTGTGGATCGAGAACATCGGTAATCCACGACAACTGACAGTGGCTAGTCGAACCAATCAACAGAGATTGATCGCATTTTTGATTATCAGTAGCTGCGTATAATGCATTGTCGATAAGCGAAGCTGCAAATATCTGTGGGCCCCATTATGCACTGGAAAAACTAACTGTCGGGACTTCAGTATTGGTGCGCTGCGCAATTTGCTGTTCGGCGGCAGCCATTACTGTTTGGAATTTGCTTAATCCATTCCAAATCTTGGTTTTGCATGTCATCGGCTCAGTGGCTTTGGGAGATGTTCAGGCTCCTAACTCTGTCTCTAAAGGTTCGTCGTCAAATCCTTTAATAAGCGGCAAAGTTTTGAATACTTTGATTTGGTTGAAGTTGGGCAGAAATGAAGATGGCACCAGAGACCAAGCCAACTGCGGAAAATCAAAATCGACGCAGATGGCTGTAACTGAATATGTCATTCTATCTAAAAATAAGTGTCTTTCATAACTCCCGGGTTGTTCACTGCTTCTCTTCGTCGAGAGATGGCATCGGTCAGTTTCCTTCTCGGACCCAGGGGTAGACCGAGCTTGACAAAGTCATCGTCGTGGAGCAGCATGAGCGCGGTGAGATCAATTTCCTCGCGGGTGAACACCGGCAGGTAATCCAGTAGGTTATGCACGGCCAGGAAGAACTCCAGATCGCTGGTGCTTGGCCCGACGTCGTCGTCGTCATCGTCGTCCAGGTCGTCTGGATTCCAGTCCAGCTCGTTCGAGTTCTGATCGGTCGATGAATGTCTGCGATCGTCCGGCTTACTAACGTAGATTTTGGGGACATTGGGATCACCGTTGGTTTTTCCGTATTCGTGGTCAATGTCCACGTCGTTGAGCAAGTCCTCCTCCTGTGTGACATCAGCTTCCCCGGGCTTCCTAGACGGTAAACTCTGAACAGTTGAGGCGATGTTGGAGCCGGCAAACGGCTGCCAGAAGCCCTGCTCCCGAATATCGGGCCGTTTGGCCTCGTCCTCGTCACTACTGTTGTCGTCGTTGCGGTCGCTGGCGTTGGACCTAGAGTCTGCGGTCGACCTGCTGAGGCTGTCCTCGGAGTGTTGGGCCCCGGGGACCAGTGACGATTTGGAGCGCCCCCTATTGTTGGAGGAAGTGATCTCTGAGAACATCGCCCCGGTGCTGTTTCGATGCGGCCTTCTAACCGCTGGGCTAGATCCTTCCTTCTTCCCACCAGCTTTCTTCTTGTACAAACCGCTCTGCTTGGCTTCTTTCTTCTCCTCCTTCTTTTGCCACTTTGTGTGTTCCGCCTGCATCTTTTGCAGCTTCTTGGCTCGCTTGTCGGCATCGCCCATGGCCTTCTCCTTTAGTTTCTTGACCTCTTTCCGGTTCTTGGCCGACTGCTCAGCCATCACCTCGTCCAAGAGGGTCAAGCAGGCTTTGTGGTTGTTCTCGGCGGCCAGATCCCGGGCGGTCCGGTGGTCGTTGGTCAGGGCCCAGACATTACACCCGAAGGACACCAGGAAGGTAGCGGTGTTGACGTGGCCAGAGAGGGCAGTGTAGTGCAGAGCGGTGTGGCCCTGAATGTCGCACACATCTGGGTTGCCCCTGGGGTTGTTTGAAAAGGAAAATTTTGAAAAACATTGTACATACGGATGATGAACTTTTAAGTTATTTGCTTCCAAGCAATAATACATCTTGTGCTATCACTTTGTCACTGCTAAAGAATGTACAGAAGAAAAGAGAAAGAAATTTGCACCAACTTAGAAGAATTTTCACAGGAAAATGTCGACGACCAAGAGCTATTTTTGGTATTTGGCTTTTTGTGCACAGTCTTCCAAAAACAACACACCGGGAGGGTAATACAGCAAACAAGAGTAGGACACAACTGTGACTACTTATAATCCATAAGAGAATGGATAGGAACGAGGTTGACATTTAAAAAAATGAAATTTCATTTGATGACTAGAACAAATATTCAATAAGGTTAATTTTCAATCCATTTGCAATTTGTTAATTAAACGTGGATCTAATGACACTGTGTAGCAGAAACGTGTAGCAGGGATTCCAAGTCAAAAGAGTCAATACGGACGATTCACCATAGCGCGCCTCCAAGAGTTTGCAAGGTGTTTGCCAATCACAATGCACGAAATCTGTCGACCCTTTCCAAACGCGCGTTGGGTTGACAGATTTCGCGCATGGCCAACGTGTTACAAACTCTTGGCGGCGCGCTATTGAGCACATGTTGCAAAATATTAGATGTACAGAAGAACTTTTTTGCCTTATCCTTTTCACTTGTGCTAAGCAAATCTTTCTTGTGCTTAATTTGGTGTGCTCAAGAGTCACTCGGTATTTTGCACCAGGCCAACGCACTCAGTGTAGCTGATTACAATTAGACTTTAATGCTGCCAATAATGGCTATATGATCTTGGTATCGGCCACTGAATTTTGAAGAGGATTTTGTTTTTAAGCAGCAATGATAACATATGTTTATTCGTCTATAGTCCAAACCGATATCACAAAGTGCAATCTTTATCTCCGACATGATGCAATTAATATCACAAAGTGTTTTTTCATGAAGATAAAAAAGTGATAATCGATGCTTGAAACTATTTTACTCACTTGTTAAAATTAGGTAACATTGCCATAACGAGCATAATGATTGGACAAAGGATGTCGTATACGGGGCTCATATGTATTTTTTGTTTTTCGAAATGATGACCCACCAATATACGATGGGTGTCACCCCCCCTCCCCATCCTTGACGTTGGCCTCAGCAGGCTCGTACTATTTTCGGCCTCTTCTTGTAGAGGCAAGGGCTTCATGAGCATTCTGTATACATAATGGCTAGAACACCTAATACGAAAATTTGAGTTCCGAGCATCAGTCTGTGCTTCACAGAATTATAACTGGATCCAATTATGATATCACACAGTTTGAAGAAATTTACCAGGAGACAATTTTCTGAAGAAACATAGCCGAGAAAAAAAATTTGATATTCATCTTAGAGTAAATCTGACAAGAAAAGACCTGAAAATGCTGGTATTTTTTCTCACCTATCACTTGACAATCCTACCCGTAACTATCTCTGTCCAACACATATTTCTCGTCTATTGACATAAATTACAGAGCAAGAGTGTAAACTAACATCGCGCGGGAACTTGTTGAACTTCGTGCTCCAAATTCAACAGATAATTGGCCGAGAATAAACACTAGCTCTCCATACATCCCCTGCAATAAAGTTAACGGATGCTCCTTTCCGTCAACAGGAAGGGCACCATGTCAACTGAGTTTTAATAATCAAAAGTAATTATGCCGAACGGGAATTCTCTTTCACAATCACGGTTAATTCTGCAATCAGTTGCTGGAATGTTGTCAAGAAATTTGAGAGTATGAGACAAGGGATTCGGACATTAAATTTTCCAATATGTCTCCGGACCTTTTCTGTTTTCTGATGTTTCCGACGGTGTTTGCGGGCATTTTATGTGGTCAGTCGGACTAAATGTGACTAGTATCTTCAGTGTCAAAGAACACAGATCTGCCAATCAGTAGATCAAGGATCCATCCATGTCCCGATGCCATGTCAGAGTCGACCCAATGAGAAGCGCAGTTCCGAAAAAATACAACTCGGTCCGCCAATGTACGGCACCATGTAGGTGCGTGGGTCATAAATCGTCTATGCAAGGCCTACTTCGGCACTTGATTATTATTATCACACAGACACCCACTCTAAAAACGGTTGGGCCAAATTGACCTGGAATATGAAAGCAGACTTCCTCTATCCTTTTCCAGGTAAAAAAATAAAGTCATTTTCCAAGTTAGAAATGACATTATCCCGCTCATTTCGGATCCGCAAAGTGTTCTTTTTAAAACGAAAAAGAGTCAAGCGTATCCGGATTCTACCTTCTGGGTAGCTTTTAGAGTGCACACCCTATACACAATTATTACGTGTTTGCTCTTGGCATTTTCAATGAAATAAGAAGAATTTTTCATCCAAGTGGAATACGTACCCTCTAGAAACGAGTATACGTAGTGCGTCTGTGTTGCCCTGATATGCCGCCCATAATGTTGGTGTTCGGCCCGTATCGTCTGGTTTGTTGGCTTCGCGCCGAGTCGCATCTCGCAGTGAATCCAAGTGGCCATCTCGTGCAGCCTCGTGAAAGCGGTTCATGCTGAATTTCTTTTCTCTCCTCCTCGATTCCTTACCTGCAGATCATCTCACGAGAAGATTTGATTGACGAGACCACGGCAACAGAATATTAATCCCAGGGGGTAAAATGGCGCAAATCTACCTTGTTGGGGAATGTTAGACCATACGCTCCAAATGTCATCGCCAGTGCGCATGCAGCCGGAATTTTGGGCGGTGCGATTTTTGCGCATTATGAAGAACGAGATTATTCATTGTAATTCGAGCGGACTTTGGAACCGGTAATAAAGGATTTAACAAACATACTGCACACAAAGGTTACTAGTGGCGCTAGGTTAGTGTAATCAAGACCGACTGACACGGGCAAAATGACTGCCAACTCTTGTTCGGTTGCGCTTACATGTTTGTATTGCAAGTTGGGGGCTGGTTTGGGTTTCTAGTTAACTCCATCCCAGGTCAGAAGTGTTTAAAGTCAAACTGGAGAAAAGTATCGAGAGACTGATATTGGGTGCTTCATGCAGTAAGTCAACTATTGGATGTATTTGTACAAACTGGTCAGTTCGCAAAGGCACCGTGAAGGGAGGGGGGCTGCCAGGTTAGTGGGAGGTGTGCCAAGATCGACAATGCGGGCTTCAAGTTCGTCACTCCCACTTTTTTTTATGGTGGAACTCAGGGGGTTAATTGACAGCTAGCGCTGGTACGCGCGAGGATCGATCCAGTGGTTGTTAATCGGTGCAACAAAGCCAGTTTTGCCTGTGGTTACCCAACTTGATGATTAGACCCATTTTATTATTGGACCTGTTTTTACAAAAAAAAATACATTTTAGCAGCCGTTTGATGGCCTCACTCATTTTAGTTTCCTATATTTGATCTGAGTGGAATACTTCATTTGCCATAAAAAAGATTAACACCCACAAATGAAACATACAAATTGGAGAAAGGTGGATGGGCGAATGATAATTTCTTAATCGTTCAAATCGGGAATTCACCGAATAAATTCTGCTCATTTGAGACCGTGGAGTCCCAGGGAAAAATCATTACAGGCAAAATGATGAAACTTGACGAGTAAATTTGACTTGCTGACGTTTTTAGTTTTGTCAAAATGAATACAAGGTTAGGAAAATATGTCTAGGCCTATGTACAATTCAGTCTGTTGTTGTTTCGTTGATGTCTTCAGAGATATCAACACATTTTGATGACAATAGGCCTCTATTAACATTGAGGCTCTCCGACCACTTAGATGATTTGCCAAAATATCACAAATCAAATCACCCATGAAGAATGTCAGAGAAAACGTACTCCTCGGGTACCATAATTATATAATCTTCTGATGAACTTGGGAAAACAAGACCTTGGTTTTGATACTTTGAAAAACGGCTTTATGAGTCGACTTGACTTATACCAAAATGACTCGGTAATCACTGCTGGTTACCGACTTCAATCATTGCACTCCATAAACGTCACTTGATAAAACTTGAAAAGCGGGACAAAGGAGCATATAAAGCGACAGAGTTGATAAAGGAAAGGACATTAACATCACGACGGCACTTGACAAGTATCTTGGAATTAATTCCTTTCACCGTTGAATGGTTTATCAGTCGGCTGCTGAGTACTTTGCTCCCCCCCCCAAAAAAAAAAAATCTTGGCGACGCGACAAGCCCCCCATCGCTCCCGCGCAAGAGCGCCGCCGCAGCTGATGAAAGCTGGGGAAAGTTCGGGCGCGAACTATAGTTAGGCCAGTAGTCAGTGGCTTTTTAACAATGCGCATGCGCCATTAAGTTACACTCGACTCCAGTCGGTCTCTTTTTTTTTATCTCATTGTTACTAAAATTTCAGCTTAGGTTGCGATTCCCGTAGCATACAAGGTCACTGAAGCCTCGCACAATTATTTTCATGCGAATGGTTCCCTCTGTAATGATACATGAAATATGTTATTGGTAACCAGCGGTGTGACCACACCCCTGAGCCTGGTCCCAAATGGTCGACTAGACATGTCTGACCATACTGTAGTTCGAGCGCTGTTAGTCGACTATAGTTGTCGCTCGAACTTGCCCCTACTGTAGTGGTGTCGGTGAGTATAGTTGACCTCTAAATAGCGCCCTCTACCATACTCTGAACCGGTTCGACTGTGTCCCCAAAGCTAAGGAAGCCGTTGGGTAGCGGCTGCATGAATTCCCCATACGCTTACGTGTTTTGTCGGTCGTAGCCAAGTCATTTATAGACAGCCTCTTACGTACGTACGTACGTCATTTTGGATAGTCTGGAGCCGGGGAGCGCATTTAGTCACTTAGTACGACGACCACATGCGGCGGTTCTCAGTCGTCTCAATAGCGTTGAAACTTACCCATGTTACTGGCGAAAAAACATCGTTAGAAATTTCTTCTTGAAATCTGCGTCTAAAAGTAGATATTGTAAGTATAGATATCAAGGAATTAATTTGAACATTATGATTGACCAAAGTGAAGATCGGTTGTCATCGTAAATGGAACAAATTCGTATTTATTTAATTGAAATACTTTATTAAAAATGAAATTTCCCGGCTCCTAGCCCTACTTCATGTAGGCCGAGTCCTAGGACTAGTACAAGGCCTAGTCCTAGCCAACGGTTAGTCCAGGTTGGACGTTGTCTTTATTTCATTACGACTGACGTAGTAGTAGTAGGGTCAGGGAGTCCACCTGGACTAGCTAGCGGTACACTTATGCTTGCAGTGTTGCTCATTTTGCACTGTAATTTGCACTTCGTTAAGGTCCTCCAATAAGTTTCATACGAATGTCGTAGTTTCTATAATGACGGTAGCATTAACGTCATAAAGTCAACTTCCAAGCTTGTCACGGCATTGTAAAATACACAATTATGGAAAGGGTTCCATAATCACAAACACAAATATGATAAACGGGCAAAACGTGATGCCCCTGCACAAACCTAGGCCTTAAAATGCTAAAATAGCTCTACTGACTGACTGAGTGGATCGTTAGTATTCCTCTTGTTTGATTATGGACAGGATCGTCACACTAACGCTCCATGCCTGTGCGCTCCATGCCTGTAAAAACAGTTCTCAAAATTCCAAAGACTCACCAAAAATACTACTATCACCACCTACTCAGGCTACTGGCTTCCGTAAATGCCAACGTGGTTGGGGCTTCAATGATATTTCTGACTTCAAAATCTGTCAAAATCCGACCGTTTTTGCTTGACACACGCACAGCAGTTAAACTTTTTGCCGCCTGTTCCTTTCAAATGCACGGATCCAGATTTTGAATCCACAATAGTCTATGGGCGAAACATGGTCCTCCCAGAAACACGCATGAGTGGCCCATACGTGGTCTGAGAACAAGACTTGTTGATCGTGACCTTTGCGGGCGCTACCAAGGACTGTTTCATGGTGCAAAATGTAGGCCCCTGCTTGCTGTAGGTATGTTGTACAGACAGAGTTGCCAGCCGATGCATGCATGTTGCTAGCGCTATGGCAGGCCCGACTTCCTTTTATTTTGGTACGATCTTTGCCGTTCAGTTTGGTCCTAGTATTGTCACAATCAGAGCAATTTTTTGGGTAGGTTTTCCCGCTCAAAGGTCGAAAACTGATGGAAAAAATCCCCACCTGACATCAAATTTATATTCATGTGATTTTGAACACACTGAGCTCGAGTGTGTATGCTAAGATCGTCACCGTGGAGGCCGACTTGACTAAAATTTGGCTAGCGGACCGGCAAGGTCAAACCCTGTTTATATTTTGTGGATTTCTTACAAAATAGTTTTCTCTAATTTAGGAAATGTTTTGTCATAAAAACTGCTAGTTATAATCGTCTCGGTTGAAAAATTGATTTCACACTCAAACATTTTCTGTTCCTGATTCAGAAGTTTTTTGAGCAATTCAGACATAAACCAAAAGTGTTGCCTGCATGGCACTTTGCACTTTGTCTTCAAAAATGATTTTGTGATGTCTGCTACATACGAGTAAATTACTGACAACATTTCCATGGAATGTGAAGGTAACTTCAAATAAATAGCAGTCAAACTGAATACTTTTCGTTGTGGGAAACTAGGAAAATGGCTGATCTGGTTGACAAAGGCCTGGCTGTTCTGGGGTTTGCGTGTAGAGTGTGTATGTTTATACTCAGCAGATCGGATTGTGGTGTTGGCGTTCTCTGTTATGCAGGGGTCAGCGTGTTTCATGTTTCCAGTTAACTCCTTTTGTGTCTTTTTGACTCGATACACGCTGACACGCTAAGGGTGTTTGCGTGTTGGCTAAAATTCTGACCTGTACTGTACTAAGCCTATTCGGTAGGCCTTACTGATTCCTGACATTTTGAAAGCAGCCAGCAATAATAACATCGATAACCTTCCATATGCTGTTGAACCTCTATTTTCTTCAAATCAAATCTTCTACGAAAATCCAAAACAGTGTGGACTACATATATATTAAACTCTTCTTGAATGGTTGTTTTTGGAGTGTGTATTCAACGTCATTAGCCAAACTCTTGAGCCTTTTCTTACTATCCATGTCTCTCATCACAAGATGATCTGCACCCAGCAGGGTCTGTGGTCGTTTAGTTGCGCGATACCACACATCACAAAAACAGGCATAGCATAATGAATGTTCGTTGGTAGTTTGGATACCAGACCCAGTGATACCAACTATTCTCGTCAAGATTCCGTTGAGAAATGTCAGGGAAATCTGTGGTCAGGGAACCACATTAGTCCCATATCAGCTTGACCATTTTGGAAGGGGGGAAGTATCGTATAAACGTAATGGCCACAGAAGCCGATGTGTGCAGACGGTCTCATGATAAGGGACAAGAACGGTGAGAAAAAGCTCTGGCTCCACCCTCATTAACAGATTACATTGAATAAGATAGATTCAGGGAAAATGATCAAAAATGGCTTCTTTGTGAATAATGGTTTACTGGCAAAGTGTCACCAATATCAGTCTAAGTCTTGACCTGGCAATAGTTTCATCCATACAGCTATGAAACTGCCTGGCAAATGTAGTTGAAAACTTGAATTTAACCCTACCCTTCCCCAACCACACAGAATTAAACAGTAGTAAAGTGTTTAATTCTGTGGGAATAGGTCTGGTAGGCCCATAACAGCTGGCTTTTGCATTGGGTTTGGCATACCTCAGAAAAACAAAGTCCCATATGGGTGTTTAACTTTGTGTGAATGGGGAAGGTTAGGGCCAGCAACCCTTGGGGGGTTAGGGTTAAGGAAGCTGCCCTTTCAGAGGGTAATTTTTGTTTAAAGTACTGTAGTAGCATAACCCAAAATGAGGCAAGAGGAGGTTGTTGTGTTAATGTGCATATTGACTTTACAGAAATCCAGTCAGCACCATGGGTGACGATCACGTCAAAACAGCTTTAGAGAACTACACGACGGCTCCCTTTGATGCCCGCTTCCCAAACACCAACCAGACCAAGAACTGTTGGCAGAACTACTACGACTATCACCGATGCTTGAAGCTCAAGGGAGAAGACTATGAACCATGTGAATGGTTCAAGAAGGTGTACAAGTCCATGTGTCCATTCGCCTGGGTGAGTTATGCGTAGTCCTGGATAGATTGTTGCCTGGTTCTGTCCCAAAGTGCCCCTCAGACTGGCAAAGAACCTAGAGGCTGGTGGGAAGATTTCAAATAGGCGCAGGGTAAAGGTGTGAACGCCTTACATTTCCAAGACATTTGCTGGCATGTTCAGAATGTCCCATGCCAAGGTGCATGGAGCTGTGCATTCGCTGTGGAGTTACCCCCACCAGAGGGATGGCCTTCTTCTGTGACAATACCATCTTATATTCCCGTGTGGAGCAGACAGTGCCATGATTTTGCTGTGCTCACTAAAGTAGCCCCGGTACTTGCCAGCCGGGTTGATGTTCCCTATGAAAATAACATTGAACTACTTGAAAATAACATTGAAGCCTGATTGATTTCTTGTGTGACGTCGCGCTAGAGTGGTTGCCATCTGGCTTGGCAAATGAGACGATGTTTCCCTGAAGTCAAGTCACTTGGCTTTGATTATTTTCGTGCAGTTTGTCTTAAGATCAGGTTGTTTGATTTGCCATAATGTCTTTAAGGCACTGGGGAGATTTTCGGGGAAACAGCTCAATTGTGCTAATCAAAAACCTTGATATTTTTGCTTTACATTTGGGCCAAATTTGTGTGTGGATGTGTGTGTGTGGGGGGGGGTGACCCCAGTAGATGTAATAGACAAGTCATAGCGTATCACTCAGTTTTGAAATTTGTGGCCAGCATTATATTGGGGTCTGATAACATTTTTTTTACCTTGAAATGAATCAAATGTTAATTTTTGTTCAGTGTCTTTTATTAACCATTTGTTTTTGTCTACCTTTAGGTTGAGAATTGGGACGATCAACGAGAGAACGGGACTTGGCCCTCCAAGATTTGATGACGGGGCCTGTCTTTGAGTGCTTAGGGGGTAACAGCGCTGAGATGCCATCACATTAGGAAACGTTATCTTATTTTAAGAAAAGACAGATGTTTTAGATCTGCACGGGGCCAAATTTTATGGAGCTGGATAGCAGAAAAATATTGCTAAGGGAATTTCTCTGTTGAGCAGAAATTGGTTTGAAATCCGACACAAGCAGTACGATCAATTTGGCTTGTTACTTTGTTTTGCCCAGCAAGTTGTGCTCTGCAACTCCATGAAATTGTCAGAAGCCTTGCAGAGGGATTGAGTGATTTTTACACAGAGGCAGAACAGTCTTTACAGTTAATACAAAAAGGGGAGCCAGTTTGCCTGCCGAGCTCAGCAAAGTCTGCTCTTGACTGTCGTCATCAATTCCAAAGTTTGGCAATTCCACACATGTAGGAACATTGCGGTTACCTTCGCACCTGTGTTAAGTTTGGCAATTCCACACATGTAGGAACATTGCGGTTACCTTCGCACCTGTGTTGGCATTCGAAAATGGATTTGATCATTTAGTTATTGAAACAGATTGTATGATACTAGAAGTGTGAATGTGATGCAGAAACATACATAAACGACAATTCTGGGAAAAACATTAACTCATTTTAATCAGTCAGTCACAACAGGCGTACTGCATGGTATGTTTTTCATGTACTGTGCATCTATTGCACACCAAATCACATTAGCCCCTTCAGGCATGTTCAGAAAAGGAACCCAATTGCATGTCATTGAAGTTTTTTCGAACCTCGACAGAGACGTGTGCGTAGGCAGAGAGCTTTGAACCAAAGGACATATGAACTACTTTTTCCACAAACCCTTTTATCTTGCAGTGTGCTTAAAGATGGTTTTGATATCATTGTACAAAACCCAAGTCACTGTCGCTTCATTCCTCTAACATATCAAAGAGTAATATTGTTGGAATGATTTAAAACTAACTGGAATTCATGGTCATTCTGGACTCTTTATATTTTCGTCTCAAATGCAATCCATCCTTATGAAGTTGTGTCTGTACTTTCACAAATACATGTAATAATTCTGTTTGAGTTGTTAGAATTAAAATTATTCCCAGTTATGAAAACGTCTGAGTTGTTTTTTCTTAAATCTTGTTAACGTGTTGTAGTGTCAGTTTTGCGGTTATCTTTCTGTGTGAAGGACTGCAGGCTGATGGATCATTCATTTTTGATATTTTTTGGATATATTTTTAATTTATTCACATATAAGTTTGAGATGGGAACCAAAACACAAATTTGATTTCCAACAAGGACTCCACTTCATTGAAACAATAGCACATAAATTCAGTACGTGAATAGCATTGTTTAGATAGGAATAGTCCATCTTCACAGTGAGTGCATTTCAGAAGTCAAATGCATATATCCAGCCAGAAATGAGACCGAGGGGTACCCCCCAACATGTCCAATCGCTATACAAACACTAGACTATTGTTACCTAACACCCCCCCATGTCTGAAAAGAATTCCTCAGATTCCAGTGAAAAAATGACCAACACAAAGCGGGGAGGGGTTCTCTCCGTCTCATATCTTGCTTCATATGTAAATGCAGGAGCCACAATTGCCCAAGACTCTTTGACAAGCTCCTGTCATTTGATCTCTCTTAAGTAATCACCAAATGAATAAGTGGACGTCTTCATGGCACAGCAAAACTAGTAATTTGTCTCAGCAAATTAACAAATCAACATAAATAGTACTGCATAAAAGCCAGAACACAACACATGACAAAGGCACTATCTTCTCTTTGTTCTTAAAGATATTACAATAGAATAGTTATTTCAATGACCCTGAGGGTGCTTAACTACTAATTAATACCATCAAATTTGTTAACAATTTGGTTTTCTCTCAATAGTTTGTTCAATGGGTAATTCCAGAAATTAGGGGTCCATAAGTGTGAGATTTTTGTGTCCCGGTTACATCTGACCTTTGTTATTTGTAAACTATTACTATTTGTCTGGCAGGCAATTTGCATTAATTCATCACTCTTGGAAATTGTTTTGAACTTACAAAATCGTACATCAGATACGACAGGGATACAAAAAAAAATAACCCCTAATTTCTGGAATTACCCCAATACATTTTGGCTAAGCTATTTCTTTTTACATTTCAACTATTAACATAAACATACCCAATTTAATTCAATTATATTCACTGCCGCACAAACATTTCAATGATTTCACCCAAATGTAGTATTTCAAAATATTCAAGCTTTCTGAGAGGGCAGGCTCACTCTTTGGCAGTAGGGATGTGTAAGTAGTGACAGTTGGCCAGTCTGTTCAGCTACTGAATACACACATTCTACCAGAAACTGAGCTTATCAAAGAACAGGTTTCCTGTGCAACTTTCGTCATTATTGACTGCGCATAACCAGTTCTAGACCAATTTTTTTGCCTCGTACTGTGCAGTAATACTTGAGTGGCAATGTTTAGCTACCAAGCAGCTTCCTGAAATCAGACCTTTGGCTGGATGCTACTTCCAGGAAGCTGCTTGCAAACACTGATTGGCAAATTTCTAGTCTTCTCAAAATTCTTCTCAAAATCAGTCACAGGCAAAATACATGACATTTTGGCTTACCAACTGTTTCACATCAGCAATTTCTTTTTTTTTCTCAGCAAATTTGGGTGAGCGCTCTGTGAAAGTGGACCTTGACAGAAAAAAAATTCCTCTCAGTGTAATTGGAAACTGTAAAGGCACAAAATGTGTTGTTATCAAACTTGCCGTGTCCCTGACATGCATCAGGAATGTAGACACGGCACTGCACAGTTCTGGCTCCTCCAATTTTTTGTATTCTATGAGGCCTATTCAATTTCTGCTCTGGCAACATCCAGTAAAAAACGTTTCAATCGCGAACATTCACAGGATGTAATCCAGTGAAAAGAAGCAACTTGTCAACAACTCATTAAAAATTCTTGAAAGTCATTTCTGGTAGTACACACTCAAACACACAGTACAAATCAGGCGAATAGTACTCGTACAAGTAAGTCTGGTTTCTGAACCCCTCTCCCTTCTGACTACTCTCTCTACTCCATCTGTCCAATTTAAAAAATGATACACAAATATCTCTCCGCCCAAAAAACTTCTAAACATAACATCCACAAGGGTATAATTTAATATAAATACTGAGTTTTGATTTCAATTCATTCAATTTATAACTATGTGCACAGTATATATCTACAATTATATACAAGAACAATATACAATACTCAGCAGGAATATGAATACAAAATCGGAGAATCGCTGTTTGGAGAGCGAAAAAGTGTTTACATTGTTTTCGTATGATTTCCTGTGACGTTATCAGCCTCAAATAATTTACTGAAGAGTTACATAATAATGTCTCTGATTCATCAAATACCAGGCATGACACATTTCCCATCTCACTTGAATTACCGTTCAAATATTCAACGGCACTCTCCTGATGGGGATTATGTGACTAAAATTTATGACAAATATCAAATTTGCACGGGTCAGCTGCTGAATACATTGGATAGTAAGCACTGTACAAAGATTTCTAGGCAGTAACAAGTACACAGACTCAGAAATAACCATCAGATACCACGGTGTGCAAGGAGCAAGCTTTGCTATCAAGGCCAGTACCAGGTTTCTGGAGCAGTATTTGAACTAAACCCTGTCTCATTTCTGAGGTGAAATCACCCCTCCTCAGCCCCATGTTAACCTCAGCCTTCCACCTCTGCTACCTTCTTCTTGTTGACGTCCCACCGTGGCCGTGCACGCTGGTTTTGGGCCGCAAAGCTGCAAGAAAGAGACACAGCAACTTGTCTTTTATGGTTTGGAATTCACCAGCAAGATTTGACTGGACTCCTGCTCGGAATTTTTGCAAGGAACCAACAGTTGTTTGGTTGCCATGGCATCAAGCAGCGATATCATCATGGGATGTTTTGGCAATTTGTGGGATGTACAATGTAGTCCTCAACAGCTCTGTTGCTCTTGATTCAACCAACAAGGCCAACTGTTCATTACAAATTTAACTGTGGGGTCGTAGAATTGGCTAAAATTGGACAGGAATTCAAACAACGTAGGCCGTTGGATTTCAATATGCCAAATGGTACAGTGATCAAGAAGAGGTCAAATGACTTTCAAAACTGACATGTTAACAAGCGATGTCATCTTTATTTGATTAAAGGACTTCAAGATAGGCCTTATTGTGCTGTGCTGACCTTGTAACTTATTCTTGTGTAAAATGTTATTCCAAACTCAAAACGTCACAGAAATGAGGAAGCACCACGGTGCTTTTTCTCAGCTTTCCATTTATACTTTCCATTTTATCCATTTATACATACAAGGACCTGGGTAAGATTTCAGCCATTATCAAATGAGACACAACCAGTTTAGCATGTGAGCTTGAGTAAGATTCAAACCAAGAAAAGACATGAAAAAAGACAAGCACTACATCCTTAATGTAAATCTCCCAATCCTTAACAAGAGGACTCCAAATCCCAGTTACTTTATGACTAGGGAGAATTCGAATCAAGTACACAAGAGAAGGTAAAAAAAGCAGCATTACCTCAGTGAAACCCCTTAGCAGCCAGGTGGGACCAAAAACCTTATATATACACAGAACTTGAGCCTGATCCAAAGGTTAAGTGGGAAAATACCAATTCAAAACTTTTCCCCTAGTTAGTAGAGTCCTCAGTTGATATGTGTGATGCCTACGGTGGGATTCGAACCTACCACATAAGGGAAGGGGATTGAACCTGGCTGCACTGAGCATCCCTACCTGGGTCTGCCGGCCGGTTGGTTTGCTTCTTGGAATGGCTATGGCTGGCCATCACTGTGTAATCATTGGTCATCTTAACGTCCTGGTCATGGGGACTGTTACTGTATGGGCGGGGGGGGGATGGTACGGGAAGGGGGAAGATGACGTATCCGAAGGGATGGACAAAATGAGCATGGAGAGAGAATGATGGAAGAACATGGAAGAGTTAGACAACGAGGGGTCATGTGTAAAGGGTGAGCATGGCCAACAGGGGAATATGGACGGCAAGAGTGCATTAAATTAAGGAAAAAATATCGGAGAAAAAAAAGTGAGAGATGAAAGGAGAGAAAGAAAAATCAATCAAATTAATGTGATATTACATGCAAGGAAAGCGATATTGGAAATGCACCGCTGGAGAAAAGGTTACATAGTCCACATTTGTTGGTCATTTTTTTCTTCGTCAGCTGGCATTTCATGCGCATGTCGCACAGGAACAGAGCACATGGAAATTTAAACTGAAACATATTTGACAAAAACAGAACATTTATTGCTTGGAAAAGAAACATAGCAGTTCCCAAGCCTGCAACAACTTATAGAAATGCATGACCTACATACAAAAATCTCCACAAATAGAAGAATAAATAGGGATGCGGAGAAGGCATTCCGTATTAATGCAAACACGCCCTGATAGTTAGAGTTTTTTCCATTCCACTATTGGTCAGGCAATACCACAAATTCTGAACAAGTGCAAGCCTTGCAGGAAGTGTCCTGTTGGAGTATGCCCCCAACTTTCCAGCACTCCTCATCATTCAAGATAATGAAATTCTATCATAATTAATATTTTGGCCAAATCAATCGAGCAGCAAAAAACTGCACCAGATGACATGATGTAACAGGAAGAGGAGAAGGACGAAGACGAGGAGGCGCATCTTACCGGATGATGGTGTGCCGCTCCTTGTGCCGGAGTTGCTCATTCTCTGTGAAGAGGATGGTGTGGTAAGGTGTGGGGAGGTCAAGGGTCGGCAGGATGCCCCGAGCTCCTGCCGTGACCTGACCCAGGATGCCATTGTAGACCAGAAGGTCGTCGACCAGAAGCTGTTTAAAAAACAAAATGACAAGACAGCAACAATTCTCAAAAGGAGGTCTCGTTTTTGTTTAAAATTGGATTAACATGCACAGTGACTCAAGCTTGTTATCTCAAACAATCCTGTCATTCTCATTCACCCAAAGTTTGAATCTTCTTCGTCTGTTCCAATTTATCAAAAGGAGAATAATATATCAATGGTTGGGACTCCCAATATTCTCCAGGGCAGCAAACTTGCAAAGCTGGTCGAAAAAACAATGCCCTTTTATATTCAGATAAACACACAAGTTTCAACCATTCTTCTGAGCTCCATTTTTATTTCAGAACTTACCCCAAACTCCTTGACACCCCTCGGAGGTGTTTTACTGTAGTTCCAGACTTTAATCATGGAGACAGCCACGGGTTGGTCAAAGATGACATACACTCTGTTGATCTAAAGCATGTTTACAAAAACAGTAAACACCTGTCAAGGAGCCAATTATAAAACTCTGAAAGAATGATTTGTTATCTGAGATTTGGGGTCAAAAAACTGTGTATGCAGAGTTTTTTAAGTGCACTGTTTTAGGTTCTGCAACAAAAAAACTAACCAACACACTGCAGATACGTGTAAAGAAGCCCTAGAGCATTTAATGTATTTGTTATGAACTGCACGGATAGCAGACACAGGTATCAGAAAGTATACATGAACCCCTCATGAAGACAGACCGGCATTGCATCACACATAATATAAATCCAACTACACTGCAACTGTTAATTACCACGGTTAACTTCTGAACTGCTTCAAGTAGAATTCAACTAAAAAGCTGAAGTAAAATGAAAATGCTGGGTCAAAACTTCAGAGGCCGTGTCCAAAACGGGCTTCCAGAGCTACGGCTAGGTCTATTGTCTGTGCGTCTCCGCACATTTCCAATGGAGCGAAGACCTAGACCTAGCTCTAGACAAGAGATTCGGATGCAGCCAGAGTCTCAGAAGAAGACAGAGCAGAAAAATGTGTTGGGCAATCAAGCCCAAAGTTTCAAATTGGGATTTCTAGTCCGTGCCTCAAGCTAAGATGTATGTCCAAACATGATGTTGTCGGTCATGAGTCCACTGACCAACGCCCTTCCAGCTGTGAAGCCTAGACTTGCTCATAAACTGTCAACCTTAAGCCAAGGATCAATTCTGGTATCCAATAAATGACGGTATGGGTGAAGCATTTTCAGCAAACTCCAAACAGGCAGGTATAGAGACTGATTACCCCTTTCTTACCACATGAGGAAGTATGGGTGCCAGCCACATGTGACTACCGTCTGACGTATCATTGATGCCGTCGACGAGTTTGTCCGGAGTACGGATGTCATCAGTCACATCTTCTAGGACATTAACACTTGAAGGATACGCTGCTACATCTGGTTGATAAATTCAGTTAAGACAAAATCATTCCTGTTTTTCAGTCTTTGAGGTGAGATATTGAGCACTGTTTCATAAGAATGACTAACATTACAAATGTGAACATTGTACCGATATGAATGCATGAACAAGTGTTTCAACCCTTGGGTTGTTGGGAGGTAGAATTCGATAAATATGAGTAGCAAACAAGAATGAAATCTTCCAAACTGAGTTGAATAAAAGACATTCACACTTTCACTGGGGTTGGGTTGAGTTTGGATATTGGTTGGGTTGGGTTTGGGTTGGGTTAGGTTTGGGTTGGGTTTGGTTGAGTTTGGGTTGGGTTTGGGTTGGGTTGCATTGGGTTGCGTTGGGTTGTGTTAGGTTGGGTTGGAATGGGCTGGGTTGGGTTGGGCGGTACACTGGTTTATCAAGGATACTGGTCTCTGTCAGAACAATCTTGTCTCCATTGGCATCATAGAACTCCAGTCCATTCAGGCCAATATAGTAAGGATCACCCCAGGTTGAGATCAGCTGCAACTGGAAAACAACTGAACAGGTGATTAAGGAAATCCTCAGAAAGGAACAGTGAACACTCACATGAAAGGTCATTTTATATCTGGGATGAGAATTCTTTCTTTTTAATGTGCCCTTTAAAAATTGAATGGTTATGAATACGTGACACTGACCACATCAGAACAAACCAGTTTTCTCAGAAAATGTAACTACGTACCGAAAGTCTTAAAGACATTTTTCAGCAAGTTTGGTTTAAATTTGCTTTAAAATGAGCAAACTGAACTCTTTACTCTGATCCATCACTCACTCCTGAGGACCATGGACATGATGTGGGTAAAACTGTGACATTGAAAGTTTCTACTGTTTTACATTATTTTAGAGGCCCTTGGCTCAAAAGTGACTCGATGACTAGTGACTCCTTTTGCTAGATTGGGTCCCAACTATCCTTCCAGTGATGTACAACATTAGTCGTCTCCTGACGACGGACAGAGCATTCTGTCCGAAACATTGAGTACCCTCCGGTTCTTTTCAGAACCGCACATGCTCAGAAAGAGACATCCTTGCATGGTGCTACCGCAAACCTCTTTAACTTGCTACCTTCAGCATGAAAAGCTTCAAAGCTCAACGCCAGTGGTATCAGGTTACCCAACATCTTTCAGATAGGGCAACAATCTTGTCCCAATCTGGCAATTTGGGAAAGAGAACAATCTCATCAGACAGTAGCTGATGCTGGTGACACATGGTTGGCTTCTTGATGGATGGACTTGGCCGTTTTTATCCAGCCAATAGAGGGGGTAATATACTTTCAAAGGATACATCCACAAGGCATGTGCATGGGTACGTACTCCTGACTGGGCTCCTCCATTGCAACCAGACTTTGCCTATTAAACAAAAAAAAAAGTCACTTCTTGTCAGTGGACGAAACAGTCCAGTACGTTGGCAGAGTACTATTTTATTTCCTGTTTTTTCCATGACAACTTAAGAAGGATCACATTTCCTTCAAGCACCTTATTTAATACTTTTGATTACAGATTCTTTTCCGGGGGGTTCCATGTGCATATAGTTTGAATTAAAAAATAATTGGCAAGATTTTTTTTTTTAGAAATTAATGTCTTCAAAAACCACAGTTACAGATTGTTCTGCAAGATTCACTCCATCCATAATAGAAATAATCATTTCAAATTTGTCTAGTAATTTTTCTTTTTTCAAAACTGGAGAGCACCACTGACAAAAACCCCAGACAGCTACCTCAGGGCCTCTGGCACTGGCTTTGCTTGCATGGCTTGCTGGTTGAGTAGAGGTGTCGACTTGTAATCGCTGAAGCTGATCTCCTGAGCAAAGTCAAAATGGCAGTATCCCGGCCCCTTCCTGATCAGGTAGCCCTCGCTTGGTGAGATCCTTTTGCTGTCCATGTAGACATGCACTATCTTAGCCTGGCAAAAAAAAAAAAAAAAAGCAACAGGAGGTTAAGAAATCAGAAGCTCGAAAATTTGAACAAATTTGCATAAACGTTGCATAAATTTTCATATAAGTTTCCAGAGATTAAAATAGTTGCAAAGGACAACTCCATCCCAAGCAATTAACTACCACATGAGCTACATGATCTGAAGAGACATTACCTCACAGACTTGGGTATTTTAAGTTGACACACATATACTTACACAAAAGTGGCCATAGAGTCCACCCAGATCAAGTGCATGACATTTCTATCAAAGCTTTGGGAAACAGCACCAACCTACTCAACTCAAAGATATTTCCCCGTATAGATAACAAGCTTCAGGCTAGCTTCATTCCTCTTTACTCACTCCTCTGTAGGTGTCCTCCGGTGTCTTATTATAGTTCCATATTCTCAGTCCTGATGTCTGCACCTCCTGGCCAAAATCTATGGTGATGATATGATCCTCCCCCTCGGTGAATGGTATCAGCCACATGTGCTCATCACTGGTAGTGACATTGGCATTGTCGATTAACCTAAATGGGGAGAAGACAAAGTAAAATGAATAGTAAAGACAAACCTTTGGAAAGTTTGATTTTCTACCAACTTCTGACTGATCATTTTTTTTAAATCCCGGATAATACACAGGCACAGACTGACAAGAGACATAGACGTAGCTCTAGAAGACTGTTTCTGATAGCGCCTTTGGGCCAGTTTATTTCACACAGACCTTGATCTCCATAAGTGATCCCATCGCTGGTTCCCTCCATCTATTAGGTGGGTTCTGATATCAGTGAACCAACGACAAATTATCAATCAAGATTCAGATTAATGTGAAACAAACAAGGCCACACTTTCTATGAGAAAAAAAATCAGTTGATATAAAGTCAAAGTCCTCTTCCAAATGTCCAAAATGTTGGTGTGATGAACTGACTTGTCTAATGTGCGGTCGTCCCTTCCGTATCCAGGGAGATGATTCAAGTCCCTGGGCTTAGCATCCATCATTGCCATAGTGACCGGGATCGCATCCCCCTCTGGATCTAGAATGTCCAAGCCAGTCAGGCCCAGGTAGTGGATGTCACCCCAGGTGGAGGTGAAATTCAGTTTCAGATCTGAAAAATCAAATACATAAACTGTAACAGAACTTTACTTACGCCAAGACTGCAATAAATGTGTGTGTATTCAGAGATATGAAATACGTATATTTCAAGAATTAAATATAAATAAAAAATAACAATACTTGTAACTGATGATAATTGTGGACAGGAGTTCTTTGATTTCTAAAAGAGTCTGATTTGTTCAAGGGCTTCAACCCTGAAAACCAGTTACTGCATAGTTACTGCTAACTTCATTCATTGGGTTTTGGTAACAAAATATTTCAATCAAAACATCATACAGAAAGTAAAACCAAGACATATCCTGAGGTAATTTTGACATAATTGGACATAAAAACAGGTAGAGCTGACTATGTCCAGGGGTATCATTAATCTGAAATTGTAGAGCAAAGCGTCAAATTATTTCACACTGTCAAGAATGCAACTTTCTGATGAAACAGTTATCTCAAAATTCCAAGATCTACTGATACAAGCCAATGAGAGTCCATGACGCCAGCTCAGAGTAACTGGATTTTAGCTCACATTTTGTGGAAATGTAGTAACTGGCCTCAAATTGAAAAGCAAAATGGCTAAAATGAAAAATGAAGACAAACTGAAACTCATCACAAGCAACAGAATATCTGAAATCAAAAACATACATCTACAAGTGAATACCACATCCTCATCGCTGTCAGCTCTAGTGAACGGCCCGGTGAGTTGTGGTGTAAGGGTTTGTGTATCACCCTCTATGTCCTCGTCCCCGGGGAAGAATCCAGGATGCTGCTGGTGGTACTCTGCCCCACCCACTGTGGGTTCATCATCGGCCTTGATTTCCCTGACCGCCTTCTTGTCGCGGAACATCCGAGCCTGGGTCATAGGTCGCTCCTGAAAAGGATCAGCAAGTTTCTTGAAACTCTCGCTTTCACCCAGTTCTGTGCCTTGGATGTACGAGATCATAATTCTCCTTCATTTGAATCCCAGGATAGCATCGCCAAGACTATGCCAATGCACATATAGCTGCATGTCTGACGTACATTTTTAACTTTTTGACACAGATTTGCTCACCTGCATAACAAGCGGTGCTTATATATCAATTTGTACTCAAAGGTGCTACAATATTTCACATATATTAC